CTTCATAACAGAGGGCATAGAACTTTTCCAAAATAGTTTGGGAACACATTTTTTAAAAAACGTTCAATCTTGATTTAAAAATTGTCAGTGACGGAGAATCCACCACAACTCTTGGTAAATTGTTCTAATCATTAATTATCCTCATGGTTAAAAAGCTACATCCTATTTTCGGTCTGAAGTTCCACCTATTGGATTGTTCTGTACCTTTCTCTGCTACAGGCAAGAGCACTTTATCAAATATTTTCCCCCGATATAGGTACTGATAGACTATGATCAAGTCATCCATTAGCCTTCTTGTTGTTAAGTTAAATACAGCTCTTGGGAAGTGCCTTACTGTAAAGCATGTTTTCTAATCTTAATCATTCTCATAGCTCTTTTCTCAAACTTCTTCAATTTATCACTTTCCTCCTTGAATTGTGGACACCAGAACTGTACACAATTTTTCAGCAGGGGTCCCACCAATAACAAATAACAGAAGTAAAATAACCTATGTTCCTAACTTAAGATTCTCCTGTTTATGCATCCAAAGACTGCATTAGCAGTTTTGGCCAGAGTATTGCACTGTGAGGGTATGTCTAGACTACATCCCTCTATCACCAGAGGGATGTAAACTAGACATACCGAAATTGCTAATAAAAATGGCCGACTTTTTTGCCGATGCAGCACTTTGCCAGCAAAAAGCGGCAGTCTAAAAGGGGATCGGTTGACAAGGAAAGCCTTTTTCGACCAATCCCTTATGCATCGAGCAACAAGATTTACCGCATCGGTAGGAAAAGGATTTTCTTGTCAACTGATCCCCTTCTAGACTGCCGCTTTTTGCTGGCAAAGTGCTGCATCGGCAAAAAAGTCGGCCATTTTTATTAGCAATTTCGGTATGTCTAGTTTACATCCCTCTGGTGACAGAGGAACGTAGTCTAGACATACCCTGAATGTTTGTCTGAGTTCGCAAGTGTAATCAGCCATCTGTTCCTTCACTTTTTACCACAAAAACATTGGTAAGAAAATAAAGATGACTTCAGTCTTCTGTATCATTATAAAAAAAATCTGAGTGGATTATTCTGAAGTTGCTTACACAAGCATCATGCTGCCTTAATTAGTGAAAAATATTTTCATAGGATTCCACACTCTGGTTATAATACACTACAGGTTGAATCTCTCTAGTCCAGCACCTTCGGGACCTGATTGGTGCCAAACCAGAGAATCTGTCGTACCATAGCAGGTCAGGGAGGTCAGTATTGTCTAGCAGCATTACAAACAATTCCACTGCTTGCTGGGCTCTGAGAAGACATGGAGGGGTAAATTTAGAGCTAAATAACAGCACAGAACAGTCAAAGTCCAGATTGGTGGCTATAAACAAGCTTTATGGGACTTCACCACACCCATGATATGTCCAGGCCAGACCAGAAAGTGCTGGATTAGTGAGGTTCAACCTGTACTTCATATGCCACTGACATAATGCCATTTTAGAACTATTGATGAAATGGAGAAGACTTAAATATTTACTCTGAAGCCATATGCTGACAGCAGTAAGGAATCATTGCTAAATGTTCACTCAGCAATATCCATATCACTGGTTATTTTAATAGAGTTTGAAATGAATTCATAGCCAAGAGCATGGACAGCAGTTGTGAATTACATTTACACAAGAGATTCCTATATAAGAGATATTCAAGAAACCCAAATAATAGCAAATAAAATTTTTAAAACTAAGAAAACTTACATATTCCTTGTTTTCCTTAGTCTATAGTTATAATAAAAATGTCTGTTTTGACTCTATCACTTTTCTCTCATTACAGCTTCAAGCAGAGATTCTTAACAGAGTTATTATCAGAAGAAAAACAATTAAATCAGTTTTCCATTTCCTTTAGTTCACATATTTCTGACACAAAGCTAGCTCTTCAATTAAGCCAAAGAGAAATTATATAAGCCAGATAATTCTCAAGAGCTGTTGTGAGTTCCAGCTAAGAATACCTATAGCAACATACACCATAGAAAACATATTCCCATCTCTCTTTCTCTCTCCCCCACAATACACACACACACACACACACACACACACACACACACACACACACACACACACAATAAATAAAACGATGGCGTCTAAATCAGCTGCTACAACTAAGATCTTGAAGTCATTTTGGATGGTTCTCTGAAAAAACTCACTCACTGTGGAACAGCAGTCAAAAAAGCTCATTGAATTCTGGGGAATCATTAAAAAAGGGATAGATAAAAAGATAGAACCATATCACCACTATATAAATCCATGGTACACGTATATCTTGAATACTACATGCAGATGTGCTCACCGCATCTCAAAAAAGATATCCTGGAATTGGAAAAGATTCAGAAAAGGGGCAACAAAAATCATTGAAGGTACGGAACAGTTTTCATATGAAGAGCGATTAATAAGACTCTGCATCTTGGAAAAGAGACAACTAAGGGGGGGGATATGATAGATGTCTATAAAATCATGACTGGTATGGAGAAAGTAGTTAAGGAAGCAGGGATGTAAGTGAGTAGTCAAGTTGACTACTCAACTATTCGCATTCCTCTCCTACACCCCCTTGGACACACACACACACCAAGGATGGGGGAAAATGAGCCAGTGCTGGGGAGAGCTGGCTTAAAAGCCAGTTCCTCTCACACACCGTTTCTGAGGAGCTACCTCCCCTCTAAGCTGTTACCTCTAGCAGAGGCAGCTGCGGAGGGTGTACGGGGGGTGTACAAACCAGCCTTTGCCTGTGGCCCCAACACAGACAGAGGCTGCTGGATGTAGTGCGAGCCAGGACTGAGCAAACTTCACACTGGGTCTGGGACCTACCCTCTGCAGTTGAAATATAGTAAGAGCTGGGAAGGCAGGCAGCCTGGCTCTGACTACATTTAAACTGCAAAGCCACAGAGGGGGCAGCTCCTGGACCCATGAGCCAGGACTGAGCGCCTTCCCTTATCAACTAATCATGTAGTCGATAAAAATGTTATCGGCTACACAATTAGTCAAATACCCTCTTCTTACCATCCCTATAAGGAAGTGTTATTTACTCCTCATAACAAAAGAACTAGAGGTCAACAACTGAAATGAATATGTAAGTAGGTTTAAAACAAACAAAATGAAGTATTTCTTCCTACAATGCACAGTCAACCTGTGAAACATTTTGCTAGTGGATGTTGTGAAGGCCAAGACTATAACAGGATTAAAAAAAAAAAAATTAGAGGAGGTGAGGTCTATCAATGGCTATTAGCCAGGAAAGGCAGGGAGGGTGTCTCTAGTCTGTTTCCTAGGACCAGGGAAGAGACAACAGGTGATAGATACCTTGACAATTATCTGTTCTGTTCATTCCCTCTAAAGCACCTGGCATTAGCGACCATCAAAGATAGGATACTGGGTTAGATGGACCTTTGGTCTGACCCAAAATGCCAAGTCTTATGTTCTTATGAAAAAACGAGCCTGTCACAGGAAAATGACCCATTAAAAGACACACCTAAAGGTTCCTGCACAATTGTTAACAAATTAAACAACCTTCCCACAGCTGACTCCCATCACTCCTACATAAAATTAACCTCATCCACATCACACATTTAAACAAAGGGAATGCCCTGGTATGGGCACCCATTTACAGAATAATCTTGTTTTATGATTAAAAGGAAAATTAGCTTTTTAAAAAGTTTACTTCTGGTGTGCTTTATAATCAGCTAGAAGACTTACCCAGCATTGCCCAGTGCTGGCCGAGGGGGAGGGGAAAGAAAAGGGAATTCAAAATGCCCCGGGGATGGCCTGAGGGCAGTACAAACCTACCTCCAGTGCTCCCCCAGTCCAGGCCACTGGTAGGCCAAGCAGACCTCCTGCCGGTTCTCTCCGGGCCCAGGTCAGGACGGGGGGGCACGCAGGCCTCCCAGTAGTGCTCTCCAAGCCCAGCTCGGGGACAGAGGGAGGCCCACGCAGGCTGCCCACTGGCACTTCTCAGGGCTAGCCCAGGGACAGCGGGGATCATGCAGCTGCCAGCAGTTGCTTCCCAGGGTAGGCCATGTTCTGCTGGCCAGCAGCTTGTGGTTGGGGGCTCTTGCTGCCGCTTATGGCCTTTCCATAGTATAACAGTTCTTCCTGACTGTCCCCTCCTGTTCCATTTTATGAGAAACAACTGAATTCCAGGCACATCCCATTGTCCTGGCACAATGAAATCCTGGTCTTGCTTTAAATCAGGATAAAAAGAAGCTGCATAACAAATCCGATGGTCCTAGTTCTTATAGTTTAGGAGGAGTTCTTGAATAAATGGACTCATGGATGGACAAATGCACTTCTCAAATATATAGATAGATTTGTAAACTGCTCTGAAGTTTTCTTTTTGAAATGCAAATTCTAGCAGAAGCAAAAGAGACGCTAGACCTAGGAACTTTCTAACTCTCACGCGCCATTTTAGAGAACATCAGAAACATTATAACGACAAATGTAAAAAGTAAAAATTACTTTTTCATAAGTATTATATGAATGCTATATGTTTAGTACAGAATATGTTGTACAAACTACAGGACAGACCAAAAAGGGCTTCAAAACGTCTTTCTTAGGAAAATCAGCTACATATGGAATGCTAAATTTCCTGAATACTTACAGATTGAGTTCGGAGTTTGTTTTTAAGTTAAGAATTCAGTGTTATGTAAAAGTTCAACTACACACAAAGAAATCACCACCACAAGAAACAGATACATATTGTAGTAATAATATTATATTATGGCTATTCAATAAAAGATTCTTTCCTTAAAAATAAACAAGGAAACTTAAATACGAACAGGTTAATTTAATCACTTTACAGTTATAAAGTAAGGACTTCAAATTTAAAGATATTCTGTACTCCAACTTTACAATTTTCTATTGTAATTTTGTAATCTGTTTTTTGCTCTCTATAGGACGGAGACAAAAAAGATGTACCAAACCCTGTATTTAACCAGAAAACTAACAAAGTAATTAAAGTCTAAAGAAAAAACCCTCTTAAATTGTTTGGATTAATGCAAATATGCATGTATATCTTTACATCATTCTAGTTGTAAATTATGATCATTTTAAGTGCCTGTGAAACATATAGTACAGCAGCATTAATATTACAGAACAAATTAATATATCTTCTTACCAGTGGTGGTTATATACTGTAATTATGTAAAAGGCCAAAGAAAAAAGTAACAATAATAATTTGGTATACACTTGGCTTTAACTTTAACCCATATCCTTTCAACCTACACCATTCATAGATATATCAGCTTACTCCAAGCTCACATTCACCTGTTTACCAAGACATATAGTAATAACAATCTCAAGTTCTCTTCCACTATCTTATCACCAAAATGTTTGTGTCAGCTGTTAATACCCACCTTCTAAAGGCTAGGAGAATATTCTTTATTATATCATTTTTATCCAAAATGAGAAAAAGCACCTTGTACTACATCCTTGATTTATACAATTACATTTCTCTTCCAGTCAACTGTCACCTGTGTATTATCTTGCTCTTCTTCTCAGTTTGTCTCCTATTCTAACTAGAAATACGCAGTTGGCATGCGTTATCTTTTATTAGGAGACAAACTTTCACTTTTATCAAGAGAAGTGGTCCAATAAAATATATTACTTTAATCGTCCTTGTCTTTCTAATATCCATGTCTACAACAACACTGTTAACAATAATGAATCATATCCTCGCTGTTACTTAAGTTTGTTTTTAAAAAGAGAGGTTATTTACCAGTAACTGCTCTTCTTTGAGAGTATCACCTCTGTGTATTCACATTTGTAGGAATGGCACTTCAGTCCAATAGGGGAGTCTACCAATGTTACTAGATCTTTGCTGACCCTGAAGAAGAACTGGAAAAAATGGGTGTTGTTCTCGGTAATGGAGAGACCTAGTTAGGACTTATTCCCTTATATAATAAATACTTCCAGACTTATACCCAAGACATTTGTTCTTTTAGGGTACAAAGACTCAGTTCAAATCATCTGCCTCGACACAATTTTTCTTTGGTAAATAAGTTTTTGCCTTGAGCAAAGGCTAGGTGACCAGCTTTCAGCTCCAGAACCAGGATGTGTAGACAACACCTAGAGAATCCACAAACCTTGAAAAGACTGGAAAACAAGGAGAACATGTCAGCCCACTAAAAGTAAAGGTGGTGAGAAGAGAATCCCTCAATCTGTAGAGACCACAAATATCCACGGTCATTATTGTGAATAGGATGGGAATGCAGATACAAAATTTATATCTAGAACCCGGCAAATTTGTGGATATCAACTGGTTTCCGCATCAGCAGATGCCAATATCTGTCAATCATTTTTGCATTTGCACGTTAGTACCAATTTTGTATCTGCACAGAGCTTACTTATCAGCTCTGTTACTTTCACCTTTTGAATTCTGAGACATAAATGGTCAAGAGTAAATAGAAGACAGAGCAGCATCTTCGCTATCAGTCTCATGGAGGTCCAAGTTCTAGCCTGGAACGCAGTATTACCGTTACATTGCTACAAACATATCTGTAGATCAAAATCTAGATATTGATGAAATAAGGGACTCATTGCTACTTACGCTCAAACCAAAGTATATCAAACCACTTCAGGTAAGAGGCTTACCAGAATCAATCATATTGAAAGCTCAACACCAGACTTAAGTGAACCTAAATTGATCTAAAGATGAAGTAGATCTTGAGATGGGGAAAACTGGAAGGTTGCCCTGTATGCCAACTTTAGGGGGCAATTTACCACTATGCCTGATCGCTTACATCCCTAGAAACAATTAGTCGAGTAGGCACTAGAGTAGTTGGTTCTCCTTTCCCCTCCCCCTCACTCCTTGCTGCCTCTATCACAGAAAGGCAACAAGGGGGGGACACAAGCTAGTGCGGGGGGGGGGGGGAGGAGCTGGCTTAAATGCCAGTCTCCCCTCCCCCCAACACCGTCTTCATGGTGGGCAGAAGGCATCAGGGAAATGGTGCAAGAGTGTATTTGAACAGTCCCGCTCATTCTAGTCCCACTGCTGCTCCTCTCCCTTTGGAGAATACAAGAGGCGCCTAAAGCTCTTGTACATTTAAAAGGAATAGGCACAGAGGGAAACAAGAGCCATCACTGCTTTGCTCTCTGTTGGCACAGGTTTCCACTGCTTCTCTCCCTTCAAAATGTACAGGAGCTATGGGTGGCTCTTATACATTTCAAAGGAAGAGGTGTAGTGGGATAGCGAGTGCCCCTCCTTATCGACCAATTGTCTTACTTGATGTTTTACAATCATCTCTTCTGACCACAGCAATAATTCTTGGTGTATTCCATTTTGTATCAGTTTCTGAATGACTTTCTGAAGGTCTCATCATTTTAATTCTGAACAGTAATTTATTTTTATTAACCTATATTCAATTCCACCTTGCTGCTACTGTCCCCTTCTAAGAAAACTTTCTTCTTAACTATTCCCTTCACAGTTTACACTAGTGGTTTAAATAGACATCCAGTTCCCTTCTGCTGAAAACAAAATGTTTATCTGCTCCTAGCCATATTAACTCAGTGCCTTTCATTTAAAATTAATTCAAGGGCAACATTTCTGACATGACATAGCATTAGAAAGCCAAATCACATGGTCCTTTTTCTGAAATGTAATAGTGATAAAAAAGAAGTTCTTGCTAAGAATGCTATATATCCAAAAGCCGTATAAAGATCTGTCAAAAAATCAAGTACAATTTTTATTAATTAAATGAACAAGCCATATCTTAAACATTTATCTAGGTGTACTAGATTGAAAAAAGTTGCCTGATAAAATACTTACTTTGAAAGAAACTGTACCATAGCCCATACACCACCATACATTAGCCCTTTAATGAGCCAAGAATCAACATCTAGGTCTGCTATAAACCCAACCAGCCAAATAACTAGGAATGGAGTTCCTAGCATCACCTTCTGACGAAATTCCTGCACAGAAACAAATATTTCAATAAGCCATTTAGATAATTTTAGAAACAGTTCTTGTAGGTAATTGTTACACAGTCTAACTTTAACAGTCATAACAATTCATTTAAGACTGAGAACCTTAGTAAGATAAGCAAGAAAAAGCTGATTTTCTAAATGTATTTTTTTCTTTTTAGCATATTCATATTATGCAAATCATTTTTTTCTTCATGTAAACTAGAGATTTCTGACTAAAGGATGCCTTGATTTCTCTTCCAGTATCAATGATAAGTCAAACAATTTTCATATGTAAAATGTTATATTCAATTTGAGAGAGATTAATTAAAGAGAGAATTCAGAATATTTTGAGTAAGTCAGGTAACATGGTTGACCACTATAGATATTTGAGAGATGTATAAATTGGCAATTATATTTTACACATTAAGAAAAATATAAAAGCCATAATGCAATTAGGTTGGAAGTTAAGAGACAACTTGTAAGTTTTTTTTTTGTTTTTTGGTTTTTTTTTTTAAACATGACAGTTTGGAAAAATTTTGCAGCACTGCATATTGAAATCTAGGAAAGAACATATTGCTGAGTAAAGGGTAAAAGTAACTATAGTAAAGTGGAGTGGAAAATGGTTAAAAGCAGTAACACAAGGTTCCACCTTTGTGTCTCAATGACTTTCATAACAAAAGTACTAAGTTGATAACTAAAAAGATTTTGTAGTTGCCATAACTGTAAACTCACTCTGGGATATGAGTCAAATTACGTTCTTTCTGACTAGCACATAATCTCCTATAACCTTTACCCAACTAAAATATTTGACAGGTAGTATAGGAGCTATTGAGATGTATAGCTCTTAAATTCTGAGGTAAATATTCTCCAGAGGGAATTAGTTAACCATTCTACCAATCATACTCAAGTTGGAACAAAATCCAGTTCCCTATCGTAACTACAGTAGCTCTGCTGTGCTAACAGAACAGAAGAATAGAAACTTATTGTGTCAGTAAACTAATCAAACACATAGGAAGCAGGTTCGTGGGATGAAAAAGTGCTACCTTTACATCATCACATTTTTCCAATACTCTCTTTGTAATAACAGCCACAATTTAAAGCAAACCTTTATTTTAGTTATCCCAGTAGTGAAGAGCCAGTATAATGAAATTATATAAAGATACTCTAGTAAAGACACTTGGAAACAACTCTGCATTGTAATAGACCGGGGCGGTCAATCCATTTAACAAAGAGAGCCAAAACAGAAGCAGAAAAAATGCGAAGAGCTGCACCAGAATTGTCAAGAGGGGCAGGGGGAAAGCAAAGCCCCCCCAGAACAGAATTGTTGAGGAAAAACAAAAAAATTAAAAAAAAAAATTTTTTTTTAAGGAAGCTGCCCCTTTAAGATGGCCGCCATCTTGGGTGCATTTTTAAAACTCTGCAGCTCTGACACAATAAGCACAGGAAAGCCTGGGGGGGAAGCCGCAGGTTGGCCATGGCTGTAATAGACAATGACATAAAGTACAAGTGACATGCTCAGTACCTATTACCTACAAGAGGCTTTATAACTAAGAACAGAATACAAATGATACTTTATCATGAAAGGGCACAGAGGTCAGTATATATGGTGAGAAAAGTAATAACTAAGTTTAAAAACAAAATAAAAAGATGAAAGTTGCTCATAATTCTACTTACATGGTAATTCTTAATGGTCTGACATATAAGCAAAGAGTAGGCACTAACAAATCAAGCAATTACCTTTTAAATACACAGTTCAGAGTACAAGCTACATTCAAGTTATAAAAAAAGTCAACTGAAATATTCAACTGCTATGTATTATATTGTAGATGCTATGAAGCTTGCAAAAAGTAAAACTGCTTACCTAATATTCATGTACCTTTGATTCCATATACAGGCAGTCCCCGGGTTACGTACAAGATAGGGACTGTAGGTTTGTTCTTAAGTTGAATCTGTATATAAGTCGGAACTGGCGTCCAGATTCAGCCGCTGCTGAAACTGACCGCCAGTTCTGACTTACATACAGAATCAACTTAAGAACCCCAGGCGTCCCCAAGTCAGCTGCTGCTGAAACTGATCAGCAGCTGATTCCAGGAAGCCCGGGGCAGAGCAACTCTGCCTCAGGCTTCCTGTAGTCAGCCACTAGTCAGTTTCAGCAGCGGCTGAATCAGGACGCCAGTTCCGACTTACATACAGATTCAACTTAAGAACAAACCTACAGTCCCTATCTTGTACGTAACCCGGGGACTGCCTGTACTGTTTTATTAAAAAATATTTAATCTGTCAAACTGCTGAATAGTTTCATATTAGTACAGTAACTTACGCCAGATTGTTAGTGCACTAAACACAAGAAAGACTGAATACTAGGACAATTGTCTGAAGAAATGTATTTAATACAACTGAATATTGGAAGGTACGTAGGAACAATTAAAGGGTTCTACTTTAAAAGAAATTACTGCCCTTCCCTGGTGGATTTGACTAAATGTTGTAGATAGAAATTCATTTGCTCTGGCAAAGCCTCAGAGGCGCGGGACCCCGCTGCAGCTGCAGCTTCAGTCCCGGTGCCTGTGGTCTGCTGGGGACGGTCTCCAGCAGACCAGGGGCACCGGAGCAGCTTACCAACGGGGCTTTCTCGCCCCGGAGCTCGCAGGTAGCAATCCGCCACCTCAACCTCCGGGGTGAGAAAGCCCCGTTCGTAAGTGCGGATCCGACGTAAGTCGGATCCGCGTAAGTCGAGGACTGCCTGTAGTTATATCGTAAGCATTTGGGTTTAACGACCCATCTTTTTGTCATGTGTATGTATATTGCTGAGCACAGTGGGGACCAATTATTGATTGATATACCAATACTTAATTGGAGCCTCTAGGCACTATCACAATATGAATAAAGAGTAATAATGTAAGTATTTACAAATGTTGACTTAAAAATGACTGAGAACAGACTGTCCTTGAAGACTACAGCTAAAGTTTTCATTACCAAGATACACTATTTCTGAGCTAAAACAATAATTTCAACCCTCATGTGCAACATTTAGAGAATAACTGTCATCAAAGCCATCTCACTGACAAATAAAAATTACTTCTGTATGGAAATCCTATGTATGTATTTATGACAGACATTTCTCTTAGACACTTCCATTTCCCTGTCCTCCTCAAAGGTTCTATCATGTATTCCATCCATTCTCCCTATACATTAAGATTTATTAATACCACTCAGCTCAGGCCATGGGTAGCGCTCCAATATTCCTCCTGTGCACAGAGTACACCTTGCTTTTAAATTGTCATTCAGTAGGAAACAAAACATTAAAATGTCATTAGCCCACCAAGCCAATGCACTATAAGTGATTTTTAAAAGCAGTTTATTTTTGTATAAAATGTATGTTTTTGTTAAATTGAGCTGTGCTTTTTTTTTTTAAGTTGACAGATGAATTGTTTATCCATCAAACCAGTGCCAAGGTTATATATTCCAATAGGATTCTACCTAATAAAAGGCCTTTGAAATAAAAGGCCTTTGAAAACTGGAGAAGGTTCATACGCCACCATTATAGTGTCATGTTCAGCCTCCATGTTGCTTCACTTTGTCATATAAAACTCACCAGCAGTTACACAAGAGAGTGAAGTTTAGGAAATAGACTGAAATTTTGATTTTCTGAGTTTGATTGAGGATTACATTTGTCAAAGTATCTTGATTTTCCACAAGAAGAGAACTACACTGTTCCTATGGTACTCTCCCTTCTGCTCAGACAAGGAACAGCATTGTCACTGACCCTTGGAAGAAACTATGTTCCTATACTTTTTATCCCAAGGAAAGGTTGCAATGGCAGTGATTCAGAAGCTAGATATAGCATGACAATATGAGATAATTCCAGAACTGAAATATGGGGAAAAGTTCTTGTTAATATCTATATACATGAGCTCTGGTGACATGCTGTACTCTGTAATGTTGAAGACCTATTTTGAAAAGGGAGGAACATGACAAAAACATGTTTTTATATCATGAAAAACGAGAGATTTCTTCTCACCTTATCAGCCTTTAGCTTTCTCAGAAATGATGGATTGTCATATCCCTTTGCCTGTCTCGCTTCTTGTAAGTGGTTGATCATCCAAACATTTTTTCTCTGTTTTGCCAAATCAAGTGGTGATTCTCCCTGCCAGGAGTTTGAAAAATAGGAGAAATTTAATTTAAAATATTTTTAAAAGTATTTTGAACACGTCTACTTTTAAAATAGTAAATCACCCACATAAAATTATTAAACTGAAAAAACATTAAATAATATTCTGGTATAATTTTACTCTGATGCTTGCTTTGACGCCAACAAGACGATTCATTCCCTCCAGTCTTTTTCTTTTCACTTTTTTTTTTTAATAAGTGCCTCAGTGATGAGCACAGTATTAAATCCACGTTCATGACATAATTTCTGTGCCTCAAATGTGGCTACAACTATTGCCTTTAGGGATCCTCTGTCATAACAAATCTGTGTTTAAATATCCTGAACAGACGTCTTATCTGTTCCCCCCTCCTCTCTAAACTATTGACAGTCAGCAGAAACCAAACAAACAAAAAAAGCATCTGTTGCTCACTGGATCATGGAAATTCTCCACTGCATAGGATTACTCCTTAGTTACATCTATGCCACAAGGAAGAGATCACCAGAAATCACTAGTACTGTACTACAAAATGTTTTCCGTGAGAAAAGTTTCTCACATTTTAATATTACTATGTTAGCCTCAGCCTTTGTGTTCTTAGGAAGAAAATGGAAAAGGACAGAAAGTGTAACGATTGCTGGCACCCAGTTTATCCTACCATTATGAGGTCCTTATGCTTGGTGTGTGCCAGGTTTTTCACTTATCTTGAAGGATCCCAAGGCAGTAACAACATTGTCCTAGTTCATCTCTCACTGCACACTCAGGAGGGGAGACAGAGAGAGAGAAAGACAGAGGACTAAACGGATTTCCATCTACAGAGATTTATATCTGTTTTCTACTCCAAGAAAAAGAGCTAAGTGAAAGTTTGTGACTAGGGTCTTGTGTTATAGCGGAGGCAAGGGATAACCAACTGCAGGTACCTCCAGCTCCAGTTTCGCATTTGACTCCTCCTCTCTTCTACTGGAGTTAATTCCCCTCCTAAACAAAGCATTCATGGAGGCTTGAAAAATAGCTGAATCCTCCATCATTCGGCCATGCCTAAAAAAAAATGAGACAGGTACCAGAAACTGAGGTTACCCAGAAAGGGCACAGTGTACTAGCAACTGGGGAGTAGGGGAGGGAGTTTTTCAAAGGCACAAAGAACAGCTAGTCATCTAACTACCACTGAAATTCAGTGGGAGTTGGATGCCCCCATTTGGGCCTTTGAAAGTCTCATCCTGAGTCTGTTAAGGGATTAAGTAGTACATAATGGAAAACCTAAGATGGATTTTGTGGCTTTTCAGGGAGTTTCCTTCCACTTCCTATGTATGAGGTGTTGAGCAAGCCTAATTCATCAGAAAATTTAGACCAAAAGTTATCCTTATCCTCTATGTCATTCAACCAGAGCATTAAAATATAAGTTAAGATATAAATATAGGTTAAGATATAGGCTCATCCCTCTGAGGTAACAAAAAAAATGTGGGACTCTGCCATAGCGAATACCCTGTCTATTCACATATCTACTGGTTTCTTGTATCACTAATCTCTGGAAAATCTGAGGCACTGGTATTTTTACATATCCAAACTATAAAGATTATCTGCGGACAAGTAATAACCTCTGGAAGTTTTTCTCCAACATAAAACCTGCTATTGTCTTTGGATGCAACTGAGCATCTCCTCTACTAGAGGGCTATATGACACCTTGGGACTGTCTAGATAAAAAGATTGCAGACTGTTAAATAAATCTTAAAAAAAAAATCTGATCAACTAGCCATGCCTTTTATTAATATGGAGGCCTGACTTATTTATTAAATACATTTTAATATTTATAACAAACATCAGGGATCTCAATCCTGGACTATTAATACACTAATCTCCAAGTCAGATAGTAATAAATATTTAGCTTGATATGTTTCACCATGTGTGATCTTAATAATAATAAAAAAAATAGGCTAGGCACTTGAACTGGGGATATTCACAATCAAGCCTTTAAAAGACATGACTGAAATTTCCTGACAAGAAACCACATCAAGGATCTAATCCAAGATTTACTAGCAGATTCAAATCATTCCCCATTAAGTAAATACTCTCCTTATTTTAGAAATTCATGATTAGACAGTGTAATTAGCCTTTTCCTCCTTCCTTTGGAAACAGAAGACATCACAAGTATTCAAATAAAATTTCCATGTATTTATTCTTATAAAATAGTTCTCATCTATGAGACCACCCCAGTCCATTCAATAAATTATGGGTAAAAATATGGGTATGAAAGAATCATAACAAAATGGGATTACTGCCTAAGATTTAATACTTCTCTCAGTAATGAAAATCATTCTACCTCCATTCCAATCCAAACCTCAAAGAAAAGAATATAATTTTACCACCAAGAAAAGGTGTTTATCTTCTTGTTTTTATAGTTCAAAACAGTTGGAATGGACAACCCCATATTAATTAAATTAGAAATGGCAATTAATATGCAGACAGCAGGTACTTCAATACTTCGTATGATATTAATCCAGGATACCACCTAACTGTCATCAGATCTTCAACATATGTATCTTCATATCAAGATGATCAAATTTATTCTAGAAGCTTTTCCATTTCAGTACAGAGCACTGTTTTTTCCTACTGCCTCTTGATAATTAACCAAAATCCTGGAAACAGTGTTTTAATTCAAAAGAAAATCAGTGCCTTACTTGGATGACTAGTAATGACCTGGGTCAACTCCCTCAAAAAAGCTTGTGTGATGTAATTTACTAACAATAGCACCTAGAACTGACTTCACCCTTTTAAAAAGCTTTAGCTCACCTGTAGCATTTCAGTCTCTAACTAATCTGGAAGTAAATGGATTTTCCATCCAAAAGATCCAAAAAATAGTTAAGCTAGACAACATTTTTAGTTATTTCCAAGAAGCTCTCTGCAGAAAGGACCTTACTAGGCAAGGTTATAGATACGTCCAAATCACCATCTGTTCCACATCAAAAGTTCAGAACTGACAAGAGGTCTCAAAAAAATTCAAAACCTGATTTACAGATAACTAGCTATAATTAAAATAGCAGAAGAATCTAAATTTGGAACATTAATCAACAGAAAACATGAGAACAAAATAAGGCTGATTGTAGAACAATGTTTTTTCTATTATGGACAGCATCAGCTTACGTTAAGTCTGGTTTTTATAAACAAAATTTTATTTCGAAAAATTCCTATAACAAAAAGCCAGATTTTTGTAACCCTCAAACTCAATAAGGGGTACCTAGAACTGTAAAAGAAAAAGAACACTTATTTGCTTTACAATAACTGTTGTCCTTTGAAATGGTGTAGTCAGTGTGTATCTTCACACAGGTATTTACATGTTTTCTGTACAATACTAGATTCTTTAGAATAGTATATGTTGAAACCATATACAAGCATATATCTCTTTTTACTCCCATGCAAAGGCATCAAAGATGAAGTGTCTGCAACCCCTTCTCAATTCCTTTGTAATTCAAATTCTGTGGTAGCTGAGGACTCCGAAAAAGGGGAAGAAAGGAAGGTTGTAAAGTCCTAACTGCCATCTCTAAGAACCATAGTTACTATAAGATTAAGTAACTATTCTTTCTTTCTTAAGAACAAGTCAGCATAGATTCCACTATTTGAGACTGGCAACCTTTTGGATTGGTGAAATGAAAATTGTCAGCTGCATCCAACCATTGTTTTATCATATTTGGTATCTGCTCTGGTAGTTATGTCTGACCCATATTGCCTGTTAAAAGTCAATAGATACTGGAAACGCACATATTCCTGAAGCAGGTGGAGGATGTTGCTCAATTCTTAATGTTTAGTAGGAGAGATCTACCAGCTAATTTGTAAGAGTGAGATGAAGTGCTATCCACTTACATATCCATTTTTTTGCAGTGAGATGGTCTGAAATTTAGACTGAATAATTACAGTCAGAAATAAATGGAAACAGCCTAGATGGTTTGATTCTGTCAATGTAATTAATCAAGTCTGGAAATGTCCAGCTAGCTTAACTTCCTTCTTTTCACCAAGAGAGATTTCAGAAAAAAGACAGGTAAGATAACTGATTGAATCAGATGGAATTCTGAGAGTACACTAGGGATGAACCTGGGTGAGGTTTGAGCACAACCACTGCCCCTATGAAATGCCATAAAGAGAGAATCAGCTGTAAGTGCTTGGAGTTCTCTCACTCTCCTGTATGAAGTCACTGTAATTAGGAAAATAATTTTCAGAGTGAGATAAACTAAAGAACATTCTGAAAAGGGATTAAAGGAAGCCCAATGGACCTCAAGATGTCAATGTTAAGGTTCCAGGCAGGAGCAGATTCTTTGACTGGAGAAACTTTATAACTTTTTTAAAAATCTTAAAATGTTAAATGAACCAAAATGTTCCACAGAATCTCTACAGATAGTAATTCCATGCTCTAATAATAACAATATAGCAGTAGGGATATATTATCGACCACCTAACTAGGATAGTGACTATGAAATGAGAAGGGACATTAGCGAGGCTATCAACATTTTTTAAAAAACCTCAATAATAATGGAGAATTTCAAGTATTCCCATACTCACTGGGTATACATCACCTCAGGACAGGATTCAGAGATAAAATGTCTTGATACCTTAACTGACTGCTTCTTGGGGTATGTCTACACTACCCTCCTAATTCGAAATAGGAGGGTAATGTAGTCATACCGCAATTGCAAATGAAGCCCGGGATTTGAATTTCCCGGGCTTCATTTGCATAAAGCCGGCCGGCGCCATTTTTAAATGCCGGCAGTTCGAACCCCGTGCCGCGCGGCTACACGCGGCACGGAGTAGCTAGTTCGGATTAGGCTTCTTCGGATTAGGCTTCCTATCCGAACTAGCTGTACGCCTTGTGGAACGAGGTGTACAGCTAGTTCAGATTAGGAAGCCTTATCCGAACTAGCTAGTCCGTGCCGCGTGTAGCCGCGCGGCATGGGGTCCAAACTAGCCGGCATTTAAACATGGCGCCGGCCGGCTTTATGCAAATGAAGCCCGGGAA